ATCATCATCTCCTACTCACCAAATGAGTTCCTCTCTCTACAGACTCTGAAGGTTAGTGACTACCTTAAAGACCTTCTGAACCTTCACAGTAAAACCCAGATCACTGACTTCTCTGTCTCTACAGATCAGACCCACCTTTGGACCCGGACCTCCACCAGATTCTGTTTGTTAATATCAATATAAATTTTTGGTGTTGTGTGCTAATCCAAAACCCAGATTTTGTCAGTATAATCTGGCCAAAATGGATTCAGCACCGACTCAGGAATGGTGCTCTGGTGTGAAACGGGCCATAATTAAGCTTGAGAATAATGCACAGGAAATGATGGAAATGTTGCGTAATCTCTCTCACCAACCCCTCTCACAAAGTTCCACTCAAGCTACTGTAGTTCAAGCCACTACCACACGTCTTGCACCCTCATGTCCTGAGCCTTGTCTCGTCCCCCCAGAACTGTTTAAAGGGGAACCTAATCAATGTCGACCTTTTATAACTCAATGTGAGATTTACTTTCAGCTACAGCCATCATACTTTCCTTCTGAATGATCCAGGGTGGCTTACATGATCTCCCTCCTTTCTGGCAATGCCAAGTCATGGTGAACTGCTGAATGGCAAAGGGATTCCAGGTACTGTTACTCTGTTAATGAATTTTCTAAAGAACTGTGTAGAGTGTTTGATCCTGTATTACCCGAGAGAGAGAGGCTGCTCAAATACTGTTTTCTGTTAAACAAGGGAGTAGACGGGTCACAGAATATATTATTGACTTTCATGCCATTTCGGTTGAGAGCCGATGGAATGAAGAAGCACTAACAGATGATTTTTTTTCCAAGGATTAAATGATAACATCAAGGATGAGTTGGCCACCAAGGACTACCCTGAATCTCTCAAGAAACTAAAGGACCTGGCTACCCATGTCGATCTCCACCTCTGGGAGAGGAGTCGTCAGAGAAAGGCCAGACATGAGAGAACAACTCGAACCTGGGGTGAGTCAAGAAGCCTCACAGTCAATACTTCACAAAGCCCTCCATCTAACCACCCACTATCTGAGGAACCCATGCAGCTGGGAAGGAGTCGTCTCTCTCCAGAAGAAAGGGAGAGGAGGAGGCTGTACCTATGTTTTTATTGTGTGGAGGAGGGCCACTCTGTTGCTAAGTGCCTGTTAAAAGACCAGACTCAGTAGGAAAGAGGAGATTCCTACTGAGTCAGATCAGGACCCCCAAGATCTCCTCACCTCTCACTGTACCAGCTGAGATTCAAGTACTAGGTAGGAAACCTATACCTGTGACTGCTTTTATTGATTCTGGAGCTGACTGAATTTATTGACCACAAGTTTGCCAAGTCTCTAGGTATTGATGTTGTACAAACTGCTAAGTCTCACAAAGTCCTTGCATTAGATGGACACTCTATGCATGAAAACAGTCTAGAAACAGTTCCTGTCACCTTACTACTTGGAGGCAATCACCATGAATCAATAAAATTAATTGTTATAAACTCTCCCCAACTTCCTGTCGTTTTGGGTGCCACCTGGCTCTGTAAACACAATCCCCGCATTAATTGGAGAGAAAAAGAAATCGTAGGGTGGGCTGAGGAGTGTTTGTCGTCATGTCTCTTTGATGCTGTTTTGCCGTATATCGGGGTATGTCTCCTCAATAAAATTGAGGAGACATACCCCGACCTCTCGAAGGTTCCAACTGATTACTATGACCTCAAGGTGTGATGATTTCTAGGCAGGACACCCATTTGACTTCCCACTTTCCATGTCTCACGCATTAAACCCCTACTTTCATCATGTTTTGAGCCCTCCTCCAGGCCCCCTCCTCCCTCCCGACTGATCGATGGGTTCCCAGCCTACACCGTCAAGAGGCTGCTCCACTCCAGACAGTGGGGTCGGGGCCTACACTACCTGGTGGACTTGGAAGGCTATGGACCTGAGGAGCGGTCCTGGGTTCCTGCCCATAATATTTTGGATAAGACCCTCATTCACAATTTTCATAGTTCCCACCCTGACCAGCCTGGAGGTCCGTCAGGAGCCGGACCTTAAGGGTGGGGCTATGTCACGTTTCTGCCCCTTCCTGACTTAGTTTTCTGTTTCCATGTGC